CGCCCGGCCACGCCTCCCCCCGCAGCGACCACCTGCGAGCCGCTCGGATCCCAGGGAGGAGCCCGGGCCGCCCTCTGCGGTTCCAGCGCCGACCCCGCAGCCCGCCTCCCGTCCCGGGCTCGAGGCCACCACCTGGTGCTCGCGAGCTCGGCGATCGCCTCCCTGACAGCGATCTCAAAGGGGAAGGACCACCGCTGACGTGCGGCCAGGCTCCTGCTTCAAAATTAAGTGAATATGGTGGGGTGCATCGCTATTCGCTTCACAATGCATTATCGCTTAATACATGTAGTGGTTTTTAAAAAATTAGCAACTTGGTTTTCTTTGGGAAAAGAAGAGTCACTGTTTTAGAAAGACTAAACACCTTCTCATTTAGTTTTACCTCCTGGAACCCTAGAAGATGAACCCCATATTATCAAAATGACTGAATTTGAACGAGATAAGGATTCACAAATTGTTTCTTCTAAAAAAAAATCAACAAAGATTTTCCTGTTTGAACGTTTGAAATACAGTGTCTTTCATCCCATTTCTCAGAAAGAGCATCTATAATGCACATTCTATACCTATTTAAATTGTGTTGTTTCATTCTAGTTGAGAAATTATCGAATAAATAAAATTCAGACTTGTATAATAAATTCTGGACTCTGTGAGAAGAGCATTTCACGTAGTGGCAGGACACTGGGTTTTAAGGGGGGCTTTGCGGTGGCGCCCTACAGCGCTCCTTGTGATCACAGATTAGGCCCTGACCTCCATTTAGTCTAAAAGTCTGTGCAGCAGCGGAATGAAGGTTTTTTTTTTTTTGCCATTGCCATAGCAAATGCAGCCAGCTTCCTTCTCTCCGAAGCGGACTTTCTTCTTTATTTTTAACGTCTTTGTCCAAAATCCTTTCCTTTGGGAATTACTTCTCCCAGCAGGTGTGACTAGGGCGAACACCGGTGCCGTTTCAGAGGCACATGACCCGGTCCAGTCAGTTCAAGTACGTCTCACCCCCTGGGCGCGGAGCTGGGAGCTGGGGAGGACCTGTGTCCTAACCAATACGCCGGTGTCTGAGACCTCCGTGTATCTCCAGCACATGAGGTCAAGCTGAGACAAAGTCCTGGTGACATCGGGGGGACCCTATGGGCAGCCACCTCTCCACAAGATCATGAAACGACTCACTTAATATCACGCTTCGGAAACTACTGACGCAACGGATGAGCTCCAGGTTTTCGATTATCCAAATCACCCCTTAATAATGAAGTATGTGCCAAGGAGGTCACTTAATGAGTGACCTAACTTTTCATAGGGTAAAAGGTCTCATTTAGGCCATTATTAGTGCCCAAGGTAGATTTGAAATCCAAACATTCCCCTCATCAAAACCAAAAGACAATAAAAGATGTTAGAGAACTAGAGAGAAAACAATAAAGCATCTACACCAAAACAGCCCCGTAAATTTTTTGTCTTATCAGTTACTCCAACAAAAAGCACATTTGTAGCCCCCAGTGTTTGCTGATACAGGACATTTCTTCTTTTCCAGACAAAATTTCAAAGCCTGCTACAGCCTTCAGGGATTGTTGAAATTACTTTTCTGTACAGGAATTTTCTTGAGCTGAATACTATTCAAAAGTGGGCAACTGGCCTATGCTTGTAATTCTTCGGTTGGACAGAAATTTTTGTCTCAAAAAGTACATAACTAGATTTAATTAGGACCCAAACAACACTAACCAGTAGGCCATGTCACCATTGGAAGTAATCACTCTCATCAGGGAAGGTGACAGCTCCCAATAAGGCCAGAGAGCAGAGAATTTCTGCGTAGCGAAGCCTGGCCCACTGCTGGACACAGCCCTCCACCCTTGCCAGCGGCCCCTGGGGACTGTCTCCTGCGGCTTGTTTCACAGTTTACTGCGTGCTCAGGCTGATGATCAGCGCGATCTAAACAACTGCATTATGTTCATGAACGGTGACCTCTACCACATAAGACCAGTGTTTACCGTTTATTAAGTAGTCGGTGCTAGGAAATTTACATGCTTCACTGTTAGTTGTCAGCAGCCCTAAACATAAACAGGATGTCCATTTTCATGAACAGGAAGCTCGGCCCAAAGAAGACAAGGGATATATCCAGGATCACAGAGTTGGTAATTAAGGATTTAAAGGCTGGTCCATATGACCCCAACACACACACACACCCACTGTATTCAAAACCAAACTTGCCTGGGAGCCATGTAAATCATCCATTCTAATAAGACAGTCACTAGCCCTGGGAGGCTATTGAAATTTACCAGATAATTTTTTTTTCCCTTTTGGTGGTGCTGGGGATTGAACCTAGGGCCTTAAGCATGCAAGGCAAGAGCCCTACCACTGAGCCACATCCCCTTAAATTTAAATAAATTGAATGTTAGAGCATTTATATTCATTGAGTTTAATTTAACTTCATGAAATTAAACTTTTTACTTTTAAATGTAAATGAATTAAAATTTTGTCAAGCTTACTAGCTACTTTTCAAGTGCACAATAGTACCTAGTAGCTGATGGCTGTCTTGTTGGATGGCTAAGATTTAAAAAAATTCCATCATTGTGCAAAGTGCTTTTACAGAGAGAGGATGTTTCACATAGTGTCTGTATCATCAGATAAGATAGTGATCTCTGTGAGGGAATTTTCCAAGTGAATTATTCCAAGACCATTCATGTTAACTGTTGTGATGAAATTCCTCTAAAGAGTGTAGTGCATTTCTGTGCCTGCCTTGATCAAAGGATACACCTAACTGAGTGCCGGTGGAGGGCATGCAGGGCCAGGAGCCCCTCAGTCTACTCAAGTGCCTTCTGTTGATCCTTCTGTCCCATCCCTCTGGCAGGCCTTCTCCGCCTCTCGTGTCTTACTTCTCACAAAAAACCTGTCTACCATTGCCCGGTGAGGGTGTTTGCTAGTGTCCTGCCCTCAGCCTCCTACTGTGTGTCCATGTGCTCTTCCTGTGGATTAAATTTCTAATTCCCTGTGTCCGAATACAGTAGTCCCCTGGTGTCTATGGAAGATTGTTCCAGGGCCCTCCATAGTTACCAAACACAGATGCTCAAGTCCCTTACAAAAAGTGTCGTAATATTTGTGTATAACCCACCACGTCCTACCATCTACTTTAAATCATCTCTACATTACTTATAACACCTAATACAATATCAATGCTATATAAATAGTTTTTACACTGTGTCATTTAGGGAATGGTGAAACAAGGAAAAGCATGTACATGTTCACTGATGATGTAATCTCTTTTTTCTGAATATTTTTGATTTGTACTTGATTGAATTCTAGGATATTCCCATTGATCTGGAGGGCTGACTGTACCCCCGGTTCACCAGTGACTCCAGAATTTTTGTCTCTAGCTTCCACCTCTGTTTTTTGATCTTCAGAGCACTTTTTGTTTTTGCTTTATTCCTTAGCTCTCCACTAGATTAATGCTACTTAAAGTGCTGTCTGTGGATGTCCAGTGGTCTGTAAATTGCTTGTGATTGCTCTAGAATAACATGTTTAGAAGTGAAGACCAGTGTTTAGAAACTTTTATAGCAATTTGACATTGCTGAGACATTGTATTATATTGTACAAGAATAACAGACATCAGTGGATTATACATTGAAAACCAGACCAAAAATGGCTATAAAACACAAATGTTGTACCAGTGCCACCAGGGTATCTCCTGAGCCCCAAATACTTGACACTGTACTACCATAGGTGAGTATTGCCCCCAAGTACATCAGT